AACTCTTTTCTCCTATAAATAATGGATTTCTCGTCATTTTTTCCTTAAACCATAAATTAATTCTATAGCTATTATTTTTCATTTTTGCTTTCTCTTACTTTATCTATTTCTAATTCTTTACAAGGTTACCTTAATGCTTTGAGAGTGAAAATATATGAGAACTTTTGTTTGATGGTGCATTGCTATATCTTTGTAATATCTTTTGAATAAAAGGTTTTGTTTGGCTTGAGCTTAACCAGTAAAAGCTTTTGGTTGGTTCTTAAGATTAGTTAGATAAAATTTATGTTTGGTCCTTAAGCTCAGCCTGGTGAAAAAGTTATGTTTGGTTATGAAATTGGCCCGGTGTAAAATATTTTGTTTTATTAGGAACTATCCAGTGTAAAATCTCATGTTGATTGTAAGAAGGTTTCTGGACATAACTTGAAAAAAAATAACATCTCAAGTAGAAATTCTTGGGGACAATAGTAGATTAAGTGGTTAGATCAGACCTATATAAATCTCGGGTACATGCTTTCTTTCTCTTATCTCTTTATTTTCTATTGCTTTATTGTATTTACGTTTTATCTATTTCTCTTCCTTATTTCTTTCTTCCATTATGCTTCTCAAAATCTTTTTAATAGTAAAATTAATCCAACTCATGTTAACAAAACAAATTTTTATAATTTGGCAATGTTTTTAAAACAACACAATACACTCCTCTCCTTCTTTATGTTTGGAGACACTTGTCCATCAAGTAGCATCAAATTCTAACTCTTATTATAAGACTAATCGCCTTAGAAGTTAGAATGACGACTTCAACTAATTTTTTATACAGAGTTTTTCTTAAATACACATCCATCATTTAATGGTAAAAGGTTTGACCTATGAAAAGTTATAATGAAATCTTTTTAGAAGTTGTTGATTTTAAGTTATGGGATTTTGTTATTAATAGTTTGTTTATCCCAACTCATGTTATTTAATAAGGAAGTATTAGATAAACCGAGTAATTTATGGACTAAAGAAAAAAATAAAAAAATCAAATTTGATTTCAAATATATGTACTTTTTTTATAAGCAATTTTCACCTTGCATGATTCAAACTTAAGTACTTGATGATGAGTTCTCTAAGAACTAGAGAGTATCTTTTTGTTTTTAATTATAAGCCAAGAAATTATGGGACACTTTTGAAATGAGACATGGATATTTTTTCGAGATCGAACAAGAAAGAATGAACATATATCCAAGAAGATGCCCACCAAGTGAAAATGGAGATCATCTTCATAGATGGTTATCAAACATTGGAAACCTTGAAAGTTGTTTCAGAAAATTTTGTATCTAACAAATATCTCAGACTCAAGAATTAGTGTTAGAAATCGAATCCAATACTTGATTTGAATGATAGAAACGCTTGTGTTGAATTTCAAGAAAAACCTACAAAGGAGAAAATTATCTTAAAACTCAAAGAGATAATCCAACTTATATAAGAGGAAGAAAAGAATTCAAGGACATCCTAAGAATCTTTATCATCTCCTTCCTCAAAAAGACTACTTGAAGAAGTGATTGAAAGATCAACATCAATAGTCTGTTTGAAAGAAGTATCACAGTAAATGAACGATCCCATGAAGAATCAACATCCGAATGAATTTTAGGAATAATCATCAGAAAAAAAATCTTTAAAGAGTTAATGGGAGAGACCTTAAGAAATTCATGCAAAGATGTAGTCGAAGCCACCGATGAAGATTAGGTAACAACCCTAATGTATAATCTGCTATGGTAGATTTTTACTAGGGAGCATTGAACATTGTGTGACTTTCCTTTCTAGAGCAACACCTTTGTGAGAGACACACCACATATTCACCTAAAACCTTAAGGTGATAGGTGTATGAGTTCCCTCACTTATAAAATACTCAAGCCACCACATTCATATCCAATGTGAGACTATTATCCACATTACTTACACTTGTTATACTTAACACTCCCTCTCAAGTGTGAGTTTATCCACAATGTTTCTCCTTAAGCGGAAGCTTCATCCACATACACTTGTACTGTCGTTGACACTCTTCAACGGGATACTCAACCCACCGCATGTGGGAATACTTTCGATATAAATGATTTGATTCTTCACTCGAACCAAAGGCTCTGATACCACTGTTGAAATTTTTTTTTACAACTAGAGAGCATTGAACATTGTGAGACTTTCCTTTCTATAGCAATACCTTTGTGAGAGACACGTCACATATTCACCCAAAACCTTAAGGTGATAGGTGTGTGAATTCTCTCACTTATAAATATTCAAGTCACCACATTCCTATCCAATGTAAGACTATTATCCACACTACTCACACTTGTTATACTTAACATAATCAAATATTTAAGTTAGGTGTTAAACTTCCGAAAGGAAATGAATAATTAGAAATTGACATCATAAAGTATAAATATTATATTGATTCTCTAAAAAATAATAGCAAAAGAACTTGAAAATGAAATAGCTGAGATCAAAAGACAATAAGTTAAATGTTGTCAAATCATTGTTTGGTTGAAAAAAGTAGTAATTAGCTTAGGAAAAAAAACGTTTGAGGTACATTTACTAAGAAAAAGGATATATATATATATATATATATATATATATATATATATATATATATATATATATATATATATATATATATATATATATATATATATATATATAAAATCAAAGGGCTTTCTATAATAAAAATAGCTTAGGATATCAACCTAATAAATCATTTATCAGTATTTGTCGTAATAAAAAAAAACCTAGCATCCTACTTATAAATTGAAATTTCTGTCATAAGTTTTGGTCATTTAGAAGTTTTCTGCCGTGTGGTTTAAAATGGTCAAAGGGAAATACATTAAGGAATGTTAAAAACATTAACTTGTTTTGAAAGAATGCTTTATAGGCTGAATTGTAAATTAAGAAAAATTGTACAAAGCATGAGTTTGAAAGTTCAACCAAAAGATGATTTTGGTTGAAAATCTCTTTAGAAAATTTTTGTGATCCTGATTTATCAATAAAGGAAAAAAAAAACTTTCTAGGTCAACTCTTATATAAATAGATTCATAGAGATGGCAAATTTTCTATGTGTGATTTTGTTCTTTTCATTGGAAGGAAGTTTAAAAAAAAGCCAAACATCCATCAATTTCTTGGGTATTTGTGAAAAAATTATGTATGCTCACCACTGCTGCAAGGACTACTGCTACACTTTCCTGCGGACTAATACCTACAAGCTCCATGTTCGCATAAAAGATGGACCTGGTGCCCAACATAGAGTGATAGTCATACACATCACTATGAACATCTCAATCGTCAATCACCACTGACAATCGTCAATAATCAATCACCACTGACAATCGTCAAGCACCACTTAGACCAATGTTACCACTCTAACTACCATTCTGAACACCATAAGTTATCACCACAACAGGGAAGGTTATTTCAACACCTACTTCACACAAACAACGCACCTTCCTATCTCTAGTTGAGAGACAATTATGACAAACATGCCACAAAAAGTGTCACCTTCCTAAGAACATACTAATGTTTGGACAAACTACTTCAGAAGAATTGCTATATCCACTTCCTATGCATTTAAATAATCTTTATGAACTGTCCGTCTGTTCCAGGCTTCCAGCATGTTGCATATAACATGGCCCATAATGATAAAGAAATCCATTTAAAAGACAAACAATGAATCATATGGCATATTAGTTATCAACATATCCATTCAGAAACTGATCTGGTGCAAATCAGTACACAACAATAAGCTCACAAGTCCATTGCCCGACAACAACAACCATGAAGCCTTATCCCACGAAGTGGGGTCGGTTATCACAAGCCCTGCTCTCATTATAATCATCAAGAACCTGTTGACATTATGTCGAATTCAACCCACACCATAGTGCCAAATAGTCATATAAACTAGAGTGAGCTGCTAAAGAAAAGGTTCTGGGAAACAAGACAATTACATAAAAACATGAACCAAAGACTTAACTTATTCTATTGTCTGATTTCAATAAAATAAAAATAGAGGGCAATCAACAGTGCATTACCTCAAACAGATTGAAACCATTCTCCGTGCAGGAATAGTTATTTAGATCTGTTTATTTCCTTCAACAGAATCATAAAAACAAATATGAAACTCACTTGCCTCAAAACCACTCTGCTGTCTGTTCTTCTTGAAATAGATAAATATAGGAATATGAATTGTAATTGTATCAAGGCTCCAAATATGTTTTTCATTTCAGACAACAAACAAATTCTAAAACAAAAAATGATTTGTAACGGTTCAAGCAAGAAAAATGGCATGCGCAGTTATGTGAATAACACGATCCATAAAAAGCAACGTTATCAGCAACAAGGCCCTAGACAGATCCTCAAGTTCCAAGAAACAATCAAATAGTCTTAATTTCTTCATGAACAGTACGTACACCTTCACTTAAAAGGTGTGTTACCTCAATGTATTTCGACATATTTGTTCATTTCAATGCTATAAAGATGTAATAATTCAAACATAACATAAAAAAGTCTTACTTATATACAAAAAATGAAGTCTTTTCTCTACTAAATTGAGTTGGCTACATGAGTCAAACCAGATCATAATGTCCCTTCAAGAATTAAGTTTAGGATTCTAATAGATAGGACCCAAAATATGTAAAGGAAAACTGAACTGTATCGATACTGAATCATTGAACCAGAAAGATGAATTCGGTTACATGGTATATTAAAGAAACTGAAGTGGACAGATTACAATCCATTATGGAATAAAACAATCATATTTTCCAACCACGAAACCATTTACTCTCCTGTGTCATACTTATTAGGTTAAAATGAAACAAAACTAGGGAAATAAGTCAAAACTGTCATGTACCAAAAGCTAAAAAGGTTACAACAAACTGAGAAAGTAGAACAACACCATTCAAGTAGAACAAGATGAATGCACATAATATGGCTGGTGTATACAGTAACACCAAAATATGAATTTTTCACAACTTACCCAAGCACTATATGCTAGCATCCTTCCCCTGATATAGCCTTAATAGCCTAGATGCTTCCTCCTCATAAGAACTCACATACTTTTTCATGAACAACTCATCAGACAAATTAAACGGTGTATACAGGCTAGCACTCTTCTTTATCAAACCTTTGGATAGCAGATACCTGACAACAGATGCCCTTGGGATAAGCCTTTTCTCTAGACTAAATCCGAATAGATCCGGTGCTGCCAAGAGCACTGAAGGATCCCAACCAAGCTGTTTGATCCAAAAACTCATTACTGCGTTGAGTTTATCCGCGGACCGTAGCATAATCTTAGGGTTCTTTTTAAATGCAAGTAAAATTTCATCATGGGACCAACCCCATTTCTTCAAGACATCAACTTTGGCATCCCATTGGGATTTGGTAATACCCCTTTTGGCTAATAATGCCACACAAAAATTGTATTTTGAAGGGTGAAACCCTAATTCCTTAATTTCTTGCACAGCTTTTCTCAAATCAGTAGAACAAATAACAGAAGGTCTAGTAGAAAGCAAATGGTAAATACTCGAGGAATTGACCCCAATATCAAGCAAAAATTGAACATTAGGTTTCATGCGAATATCACTCATGGAAGCAGGACAAATGATAATTGAAGTAATAGCTTTTTTATCAGAGGGACAGAAACCTCTTACCAATTCAAAAGCGGGGATTATGTGTTTCTCAAGGCTTACACGGAGGAAACTAGAGCTTCTGATGACGGCGGCGACTATGTCGGAGGGAGAAGCGCCTTTGGAGGATAAAAATTGAAACTTTGGGAGAATAGTTTTGATGGGGTTGGAAAGGATGAGTTCAGGATTCTTGAGAATGATGGATTGGATTTGGTGATTGGAGAAACCGTGGGTTTTGAAGAAGGCGATAACGGAGTTGGGTCTTTCGGGGGTGGAGAAAGTGAAACGAAGTCGTTTTGATGCTTTGAGAGCGTCTTGTGGAGATAAGCCACAGTTGTTGGTGAGGTAGGAAAGTGTGAAAGATTTTTGGTCTGAATCTGAAGTGGTGGTGGTGGAGAAGGGATTGAGAGAGTGGAGAAGGTAGTAACATTTTGGAGTTGAAGAGAGATGGTTGAGGTACACAAGAGCTCTGAGATGGTGAGAATGAAACATGATATCGGAGGGAGAGTCAGCAAAATTATTACGGCAACAACTTGCGCAGAGAGTGATTTGGAGCAGTCTCTCCCACCATCACCATGTACAATCAAAATCTGATTGAAGTGAGAATTGATTCGTCTATTGAATAATAAATTCTAGTTTAAAAATCATGTTTTAATTTAAAAGTTATTGTTATTCTCTAAAACTATGTGATGATAGTAGAAGTTGAATAGCACTTTAATGCTTTAGATAACAAGAGAGTAAGAAAGACACGTGTAATGAAAAAGATTTTAATACCATTGAGAGTGACACTTTAGGCTTTCTTGTGGTTTTTGGACAAGCTCGATGGTGAGAAGTTATGATTTGAGGTGTTTTTTTATTAGGCTAAAGTAAGTTTGTGAAGGTGAGAAGTTCTTTATTTAGGGGTGTTTCGTCATAAATTTAAAATATCTTCCTCAACACTAAGATTGAGGTACTGATAGAGGCATATGTGTCTAATTTTAAGATTTTTTGAGAATTGTAATAGCTCATCTTAGTAATGGTGGTGGACTGTTGAATCCTTATTTTTTTTAGGGAGGCGTGTATTATTCCCTTGAGTCCATTTTTCCATCATCTCTGACCCAAACATATGGGTGATATTTTCCCCCTCGTGGGTGATATGATCTTGTCGCCCCTTATGAGCTGTAAGATCTCAACACCCTTTAAGGACCCTCATAAATATATAACTATACAGTCATTCAAACACAGGGACTTTTTAAAGAGCGAAGTACTTAATTGATTTTGCAATATGAGAGCTTAAGTCTATGGGCGATGAACTTAGATACCTTGCCTGATGAAACTCTTAGTCCCTCAGGCAAAGTGCTTATATGAGCTTTCCTGATGAGGCTATAAGTTAACTTAATTAATGAGACTCATCCCTCATGTGAGGCGCTTAGATGAGTCTGTCTTATAAGACTCTAAGTCGAGTCCCTCGGGCGAGAATTTAAGTTGAGTTTCTCAGGCCAGACTTCATTCGAGTTCCTCATGCAATACTTTAAGTTGAGTTTCTCGAGACAAAAATCATTTGAGTCCCTCTAGCAAGACTTTAAGTTGAGCATGTCTTATGAGACTCTAAGCCCCTCGGACGAGGCGTTTATAAGAGCCTGGATGTTGAGACTCTAAGTTGAATCCCTTAGGCAAGACTTTAACTTGACCATGTCTGATGAGATCCTAAGTTTCTCAGGCGAGACTTTAAGTTGAGTCTGTCTAATGAGATTCTAATTTCATCAGGCGAGACTTTAAGTTAAGCCTGTCTGATGAGACTTTAAGTCCCTTAGGTGAGACTTGAAGTCGAGATCGTCTGATGAGACTCTAAGCCCATCCGAAAAAACTTTAAGTTGGTTATGTCTAACGAGGCTTGAAGTCAAGTCTCTCAAGCGAGACTTTAAGTTGATTCGCTCGGGCCAGACATCAGTTGAGTCCCTCAGGCGAGACTTTAGGTTGAGTTTGTCTAGGGAGACTCTAAGTCCCTCAAGCAAGGCATTTAAATGATCATTTATGATGAAAATCTAAGTTAAATCCCTCAGCGAGACTTTAATTTGAACCTGTTTAATGATACTTTAAGTCCCTTATGCTAGACTTTAAGTTTAGCATGTCTGATGAGACTCTAAGTCCCTCATGCGATGTGTTTAATTGAGCCTATCTAATGAGGCTCTAAGTCCCTTAGGCGAGACTTTCAGAAGAGTGTGTCTGATAATAATATAAGTCGAATCCCTCAAGAGAGACTTTAAGTTGAGCATGTCTGATGAGACTCTAAGTCCCCCAGTTAAGACTTTAAGTTGAGCCTGTCTGATGAGACTCTAAGTCCCTCAGGGTAGGCGTTTAGTTAAGCATGTCTGATGAGACTCTAGTATTTCATGTGAGGAGTTTAAATAAGGTGATCTCCTTTCACATATAGCTTATACATATTTCCATGAGGGCGGAAATGATCTTCTAGTGGAAGTCCAACATTTGTATATTTTCTTAAGAGGCATCAAGGATCTTCTTATAGAATTCTAGTATACTTGTATTGTCTTACAAGCAAGCAAGGATATTCATGTGGAAGTTCAGCATTCGTGTATCACATTGAGAGGCGGCAAGGATCTTCTTATAGAATTCTAGTATACTTGTATTGCCTTACAAGCAAGCAAGGATATTCATGTGGAAGTCCAGCATTCTTGTATCACATTGAGAGGCGGCAAGGATCTTCCTCTAGAAGTCCAACATACTTGTATTTCCTTAAGAGGCAGCAAGGATCTTCTTGTGGAAGTCCAGCATTTGTCTATTGCTTTAAGAGTCGGCAAGGATCTTCCTAAGAAAGTCCATCAAACTTAACAATAAAACCAAAATATTCTTCATGTGGCGAAAGTCTCTTGTATCATTGTCTAAATGTACCACGCCGTCTTCGTGCTAGTGGGTTTAGACAGAAGGTATACTTTAATGTTTTACTTCAATTTAAAAAACTTGAAGCGTGTTAATAAATATTGCACCATATGAATATATTTTATAAGTCGAGGTTGCTATACCTAGTACTCCCCAGCAACTAGATTGTTAACCAATTAGGAATCATTTTTTTCCTTTAGTCTTGAAACACCCATTTCTAGGGCGAGAACCATGTCGACTATGAGAGTTTTGTACCCGACCTGGTTGTTATTGGCCTTAAATTCAAATTTTAATGATTTCTCTATCAGTATGTTACCTAGTCCTTCTAGCACTATCTTGGTGCCGCTCCCCTTAATGTTTGAGGTGTCATATGTGGAACCTTATTTTACAGGTTACTTCTAGGATATATTCCTTTAATGAGGATAATTAATGAAATATAGTTTAAGACTCATCTTAAAGTAAACTCAAACAAGTATCTATAAGAATGAAGCATGTGAAATCATGTCTGCCTCGATACGTCTAAGTGACTAACTATATTGTAAAAGCATAAAGGAATTTTCGTAAAGTGCATGGCTAATCACACGCGCGCACGCACACACACATGCATACACAAACGCGCGCGCGCACACACACACACCCATGCACACACACTCACACAAAAGTTGTCAGACTCATTTTTCTCAATAAAATTCTTTCAAAAATGCTTTCAAGTTTTGCCAGACAAGTTAGGAATTTTCAAAAAATATTAGGGCAGGTTTGTGCTCTTGCCAATTAATTGACATCTATGGCAATTGATTAGATGAGTTCAAAAATGTGCCATAATCGATTATAATAGTGCCTTAATGAATGTTAATGGCTAAATATATTTTCTTTCCTTTTTTAACTTATTAATCGATTAATTTTAGGCTTACTAATCGATTGAAGTTTTGTGCCAATCAATTGGCTCATCATTAATGGCCATGAAGTTAATTCCTTTTTCATACCAATTTCTAGCCTATAATTATAGGTCCCTTCTGTAGCACCCTAAACCCCAAAACTTATATAAAAATATTCAATCCATAATTTAAGGTGTCATTATGACAACCATCCAAAAACTTTTAAAAATATTTAACAACGTTCAACGGAAAATCATATCATAACAACTTCAAAATTAGTTTTCGCAATTAAAGTATTAGACTTTAAACCACACAAATCAGTATTAACTCAAAACATAGTAAAAATCCTTGTCCTGATGTTACAGATCAAAGCATTTAACCGACTAATAACGATAAATGATAAAATAAATGAAGATGAGCTCCATGAAAATGTCTTCCACTCACAACAACAAAACTCTACTCCTGAGTATTTGCAAGATGTCCATGGTGGACAACATAAAGCAAGGGGTGAGAATACACTCAAATATGTTAGCGGTGCAAAAGATCATGAAGGGTAGCCTAAAAAATAACAAAAACAACAACAATCATCAATAGGTAATGTATTCACACAACAATCATCGATAACATAAACTAATGCAAAACACTCCAATCAACTAACACAATTAATTTCCCATTCGCATAAACTCATATCAATAGCTAACTCAAACTCAATGCAGATATGTATGCAATGCTCAACTCACTAACTATGTCAATGCTCGTCAAGGTCCCCTCTCTGAACCAAATTTGCAACTTAACCCTATATGCATGTGGTACAAACTCAACAATGATTTTTCATACGAATCGGGTCCTAACATATGAACCCCGAGCCCCCTCTCTGAGTTTCAAGCTCCCTATTTGAGCTTGGGACAAATCACAAGTCTCCACATTTGAACTTTTGACTTGCCTATTTCACAACAACGACAACATATAATACATGGCATACAATAATGCAATGACAACAACACAACAATAATTACAGCCCCACATATGACTGTAAACAATCATGCAACAACAACAACACAAAAATGATTACAGCCCCACATTTGACTGTAAACAATCATGCATTTAACGCATCGACAATAGTTCTTACTCCAAATTATGCATCTCAACAATCATCAACAAATATGTACAACAATTCACATAATTATACTTGCACTTCACATCATATAATCACACATCGAATAAACATTCACACAACACTCAATCACATCAATTCACATTTCAAGGTGAGAAAAATAAACAAGAAAGGGGATTGAATTGTGCATGATAATTCTTTTTCACTTCTGAAACTAGCTTCAGACTCTGAACAAGTTTAGAGTCTAATCAGAAATGTTAATAGCAGTGGAATATAATAGAGTTCAGAAGCAATAAACAAATCAACACATAGAGTTTATCACGGTTTCTCTCATAAACTGAAAGTAGTCTAGTCCCTTTGTCTCAACAAGAGATTTTTACTACAATCAAGCTGATTACACTTTACTCAAGCAAACTAGCAAGAGACTTCAACTGTTCAATCATACTAGAAAGAGAGTTATACTAAAGCAACCTAGCAAGAGACTTATGCCTACGCACACATGCAAGAGACTTCACTACTCAAGCAAACCAGCAAGAGATTTCTACTGCTCAAGTTAACTAGCAAGAGACTTCTTCTACTTTAAACAAACAGTTTAATAGAAAATATAACAACTATACTTGATGTTT